CACCCAGACTGGAGTGCAGTGGCACACTCATGGCCACCCCAGTGTCAACCTGCTGGGCTCAGGCGATCCTTCTGCCTCAGCCTTCCCAGTAGCCGGAACTACAGATGCGCTCTACCACGCTGGGCTATTTTTATTTTATTGTAGAGACGAGTTCTCGCCAAGCTGCCTAGGCTGGTCTTGAACCCGCGGGCTCAGGCAATCCACTCGCCTCGGTCTCCCAAAGTGCTGGGAATACAGGCTGAGCCATCGAGCCCAGCCATCATGTTCTGAGTCACCTGAGTTTCTGTGCTACGCCCCGTCCTGCCACTCATGAGGCAAGGTCAGCGCCAGGCCACCTGGATCCCACAGAGCACCTGGGTGAGCCCTGGGTTTCATCCCCACAGACCCCAGACCTCGACCCCCTCACCCAGGGGCTCTGACAAATGCAGTGCTTCTGCTTGGATTAGAATGGGGCAGAGCTTCCTTCACAGATGGGGCTCCATAGCCAGTTGACTGTGTGCCGTGCGCAAACCACACAACTGCATGTGGAGGCCCCGCTGCCCACCTAGCACTCAATTCCTCTCTACCCCCTCTTCCTTCCCTCCCCACTGGAGCCACGAACTTGATTCCTTTGAAAGTTTCAAAGAGCCTCGCCCTCCACCAGCTTCTGCTTTCAGTCCCGAGGCTGGCAAAGACAGCAGCCTGCCACCTCCAGGACAGAGCTTGGGCAAATACAAGGGAACATACCCGAGTCGGCATCTCCATGCATTATCCCACATGTAACACTCATGAGGGGCACCGTGAGGGGCCCACAGTAGGGGTGCAACAGTACTTTTTTCTTCTTCTTTTTTTTTTTTTTGAGTTGGAGTCTCCCTCTGTTGCCTAGGCTGGAGTGCAGTGGCACATTCATGTGCACCGCAGCCTTGACCTGCCGGGTTCAGGCAGTCCTTCTGCCTCAGCCTTCCAAGTAGCTGGAACTACAGGTGTGAGCCACCACGCCCAGCTAATTTTTGATTTATTCCAGAGACAAGATCTTGCCAAGTTGCCCATGCTGGCCTCGAACCCCTGGTCTCAGGCAATCCTCTCGCCTCAGCCTCTCAAAGTGCTGGGATTACAGACCTGAACCACCTCGCTGGGCCAGAACAGTAGTTCTGATTAACATCAGTATTATTCCTCATCACAAACGAACTCTTCAGAATACAAACAGGTCCGGCATGGTAGCTCACACCTATAATCCCAGTGCCCTCGGAGGCTGAGGCAGGAGGATTGCTTGAGCCTAGGAGTTCGAGACTGGCCTGGGCAACATAGCGAGACTTCATCTCTATACAAAAAATAAAAAAATAGCCAGGCATGGGCATGCGTGCCTGTAGTCCCACTACTCAGGCGGCTGAGGTGGGAGGATCACTTGAGCCCAGGAGGCTAAGGCTGTGATGAGCCATGATGGTGCCATCGCACTCCAGCCTGGGCGACAGAGTGAGACCCTGACTCAAAAAAAGAGAGAAAAAAAGAAATACAACCGGGCTCGGTGGCTCAGCCTGTAATCCCCCGCCTTTGGGAGGCCGAGGTGAGTGGATTGCTTGAGCCCGCGGGTTCGAGACCCGCCTGGACAACTTGGCGAGACCTCATCTCTACAATAAATCAAAAACTAGCCGGGTGTGGTAGTGTGCGCCTGTAGTTCCAGCTACTCGGAAGGCTGAGGTAGAAGGATCGCCGGAACCCAGAAGGTCGAGGCTGTGGTGGCCGGGAGCGGCCACTGCACTCCCGTCTGGGTGACAGAATGAGACTCCAACTCAAAAAAAAAAACCAAAAAAAACCCCACAATCAAACCCATATATAGTGCTTCGGGATTTACAAGTCTGAATTCCTGCTTCCGGTCATGAGCAAGTCAACAGAGTTTTCAACAGGGTCTGACAACCTACTCTGCCAAAGGCCAGGCGTGCGTGAACACAGGTGCTCGAGGGTGCTGATAGAACCTCACATAGGAAAATGGGCAGGGCCCCCAATTGCCTCCCTGGTTTCCCAAGGTTTATCTAACCCTCGTGATGGCCTCTGAGGGTGATGCCATTCCATCTCACAGGTAAGAGATTTGGTGCTAGCAAGATCTTTGTCTTCTTTTTCCTTCCTTCTTTCTTCTTCTGAGATGGGGTCTCACTCTGTTGCCCAGGCTGGAGTGCAATGGTGGGATCATAGCTCACCGCAGCCTTGACCTCCTGGGCTCAAGTGATCCTCCTGCCTCAGCCTCGAACCCCTAGGATCAGGCAGTCCTCTCACCTTGGCCTCCCAAAGTGCTAAGATTACAGGCGTAAGCCACCATGCCCAGCTACAGTTTTGTTTTTTGTCTTTTTTGTAGAGATGGTGTGTCACTATGTTACCCAGGCTGGTCTTGAATGCCTGGCTTCAAGCAATCGTGCTGCCTCAGCCTCCTGAGATTACAGGCGTGGTCCACTGCACCTGACCAATATTATATAACCGACATAGCTATTCATAGACACAGTTTTCAGGGGCTACTCTGCTCTCTAAGTTAATCCTTAACAGTGCCAAGCACTTTGCAAACACTCACAGAGTCCTGTGTCAGTACCATCAGTGTTCCCATGTCTTTGGACATGCTGGAAATTTGGTGCTCCTTCTCCCATGGTCCCGCCCCTAAAGGCCAGGGCTCCAGGCTCCTGCCTTGGCATCTTCTCTTCCCCTCCTCCTCATCAAGCCATCCTCCCTCTCCTTCCCTGTCCCAGGACCGGATCCCCTTTGCTGTGGTCGGGGCTGACCGCGAGCACCTGGTGGATGGGAGGTGCGTCCTGGGCCGTAAGACCAAGTGGGGTGTCATTGAAGGTCAGTGCGGGGTCTCAGGAGGATGGAAGCAAGGAGGGGTGGAGGCCAGGGCCTGCCCTGGGCCTGTGGCTTCCTTAGCACCTGTCACAGGGGTTGAGGGAGCAGACAGGTCTGGGACAGAGTCCCTCTTTCCAGCTGGGAGGCCTTGGGCAAGAGACCCGGCTCTTTGGCCTCAGTTCCTCCCCAGTACCATGGGCATCACAGTAACATCCGCCACACAGGACGGCTAGAGTGGGAGGAGCTACCACTCTGCACGCTGTCCAGGACCCAGAGGCACCCTGGTGGCTGGCCGGAGGTTACTGTGGGCCCACTGTGTACAGGGCACTGCTGTGTGCAGTTGCTGGGGCATACGGTGACAGCAGGACTGTCCCTGTTCCCAAGGAACCGACAAGAAAGTGACAGGTTGGGAAGCACAAAGAAGGCGATTGGAGGGTGGCAGAGGGGGCACTGCCTTTGGGAGCCAGGGATGACCCCCCAGAGGGAGCAGCTGGGAAGTGGGAGAGGAGGAGCAGCCAGGCCCAAGACCCCATTTATTATGATGATTATTAGAAACAGAATATGGGCCAAGCTCTGTGGCTCATGCCTGTACTCTGAGAGCTTTGGGAGGCCAAGGTGGGAGGATTGCTCAAGACCAGGAGTTGGAGGCCAGCCTATCAACAAAGCAAGACCCCGTCTCTACAGAAAATTAAAAATTAGCTGGGCGTGATGGTGCATACCTGCAGTCCTTAGCAAATATTATTTATGACATGACATACAGTCATCCCTCGGGATATTCATGGGGATTGGTCCCAGGACCCTTGGGTATACCAAAATCTGAGAATCCCCAAGTCCCGCTGTTGCACTGTAGAGCCTACAGATACGGGGCGGCTGGGCATGCTATATGGTCATGACCAGTGGATTCAGTGAGCCAACAAGTATCTGTAGGAGCTGCCTTCCTCGGGCCCTGGGGACACACGATGAATGAATGAATGAATGAATGAATGCACACATGAATGAATGAACCAATAAAGGGGTGGCAGCACAGGACAGTGAGAAATGGAGGGAAGGGCAAAAGGAAAGGGCGTCAGGTGGTACCGCCGCATACAGCAGGCACTCAGTGCTTGCGGAGCAGAGCCCAAGCTCAGCCCATGTCTTGCAGTGGAGAACATGGCACACTGCGAGTTTCCACTCCTGAGAGATCTACTCATCCGGTGAGGACGTGGGGACCCCAGGGCTAGGGCAGGGGAGGGACCCTGGGACTCCTGCCTGGGACTGACCGCCCCCCGCCCAGCCAGCTCCCACCTCCAGGACCTGAAGGACATCACCCACAACGTGCACTACGAGAACTATCGCGTCGGCAGACTCAATGCTAGCCACCTGTTGCCCCGCGGGCCCGGCTGGGTGAACCTGGCCCCGGCCACTCCAGAACAGCTGACCAGCCCCCGGCCCCTGAGGGCCTGCAGGCGGCCCCACGATGACTCAGAGGAGGAGTCAGGACTCTCCATGGCCAACCCCAGGCCTGCCAGCTCCTGAGTCCCCGGCAGTCCCGGCACACACCTGTGCACCAGAGCATCTATTAAAGGTGAACATTGCTTCTAATGAAGAACTGTGCTTTGCAAGCAAAAGGCGTTTGTCAGTGACTTCTTTGGGCTAACTACAAGTAAAAGTAGAGCTCTTTAAAAATATATGTATTTTTTTAATTTGCTAGGCACAGTGGCTCATGCCTGTAATCCCAGCACTTTGGGAGGCCGAGGCTAGAGGACTCCCTGATCCCACGGGTTCAAGACCAACCTGGGCAACATGGTGAGACCTCGTCTCTACAATGAATCAAAAAATTAGCTGGGTGTGGTGGTGCACGCTTGTAGCTCCAGCTTCTTGGAAGGCTGAGGTAGAAGGATTGCCTGAGTCCAGCAGGTGGAGGCTGCGGTGGCTGTGAGCGTGCCCCCACACTCCAGCCTGGGTGACAGTGCAACTCCAACTCAAAAAAAAAAAATCTTTTTTTAGACATGGAGTCTCACCCTGTTGCTCAGGCTGAAGTGCCATAGTGCCATCATGGCTCACTGCAGCCTTGACCAAGTGCCTGGACTCAAGCAATCCTCCCACCTCAATCTCCCAAGCAGCTGAGACTCCAGGCATGCGCCACCATGCCCGACTAATTTCTTATAGATATGGGTTCTCACTATTTTGCCCAGGCTGGTCTGGAACTCCTGGTCTCAAGCAATCCTCCCACCTCAACCTCCCAAAGTACTGGGACTGCAGGTATGAGCCATCACGCCCAGTCAGCCAAACAAGGTTCTTTGTTAATAGCATGAGACCCAAGGCCCTGGTGACTCCTAAAGGCCTGGAAGAATATACCTTGGACGCCTGGCCCCCTCTGCCTCCAAACCAGGGCCAGGTAACAAATCATGCTCTCCTGTTCATCCCAACCTCTCACTCTCAGCCCAGGGCTAGGCCCACAGGCAGTCACAATCACTTAACAACTCCCCATCTTTGTGGCTGATCTCTGGCTGTCGTCCCTGAACTCCGTGGTCTGCTGGACCCTGCCAGCCCTGCTTCCTTGTCCCCACAGACCGCCATGGCCAGCAGGCAGCTCTAATGGAGTCTGGCAAAGCCCATGAGAAAAATCATGGCAGGCAAATCAGTCATTTATTCTCCCTTTGCCTCAGTTTCCTCATCTATAAAACGACTGGCGAAATAGCGAGGCCCCATATCTACAAGAAATTAGCCGGGCATAGTGGCGTGTGTCTGTAGTCCCAGCTGCTTAGGAAGCTGAAGTGGGAGGATTACTTGAGCCCAGGAGTTCAAGGTTGCAGAATGTGAGTTCCACAGTTCCAAGACTCTTAGAACTCTAGAAAGCAAGGCTGGGCACCGTGGCTTACGGCTATTCTCCCAGCACTCTGGGAGGCCGAGGCAGGAGGATTGCTTGAGCCCTTCGAGACCAGCCTAGGCAACATAATGAGACGCCCATCTCTACAAAAACAATTTAGGTAGCCAGGTCCTTAGGAGGCTAAGGCAGAAGGATCGCCTGAGCCAGGAGGTTGAGGCTGCGGTGAGCCATGATCATGCCACTGCACTCGTCTGGGTAACAGAGTGAGACCCTGACTCAAAAAGAAAGAAGAAAGAAGGAGAGAAGAGGAGGGCAATCCCCTCGGGTCCCCTCCCCTCTGACTGTGGGAACTTTTTCAAAAAGAAAAGAGAGAAAGAAAGAAGGAAAGGAAAGGAAAAGAAAAAGGAAAGGGAGAAAGAAAGAAAACAGACTTCATAGGATTCCATGCGGTGGCAGACAAAGCTAGGTTAGTTTGGCAACAAAAGGAAGGGTGACCCTTATAATCTAAGGATCTGGGGAACACCCAGAACACCCTGTAGGGAGCGAGCATACGACGAGCTTTTAGCAAATGACAACAGTGAGTAGTAGTATTAGCCCAGCTAAAGGTCACTTCCTCCATGAAGTCCTCCCTGATTTCACCAGGCAACACACTGGCTGACCTGGCTTGTTTTCTGGTCAATCTGCCGCATTAGACTGGGAACTCTGTAAGAGCAGAGATATGTCAGCTTCACCCCTGCATCTGGCACAGGGCAGGTGCTCAGGACACCCTGCTGCCGGAATGGGTCCTCCACGGCCTGCCCAGAGCTATTTTCTGGTTGGATTCACAAGCCTGCTTCTCCACCCCCATCCCAGGCTGACTCCGGGCTCACGAAGCTCTCCAGGCCTGAGGGGAAGCACACCACCTACAATCAGCATCTCAGAATTGGTGGAGACACCAGCCCACATGACAGCACTTCTCAGGTTTAAGATTAGCCCGAGGCAAGAAGGTGGCGTCTCCCACATTTCAAAAGCACACGCCTCTGGCTCACGATTGCATTTCTAGGAATGGACCTTACACATCAACCAGGGCTTCCCAGCCTCAATACTGCCGACACTGGGGGCTGGGTCATTCTCTGCGGTGAGGCCTGTCCTGGGCATTAGGGTACGGCAGGGACAGGGGGAGGGCAGAGGAGAGGGGAGGTGCGCATGCACCGCCGGAGCTGGGAACCCAGAGATCCGAGTAAATTGCAAAGAATTGCAACACACAAAAAGGTTAAGAGAAGAAAAGATTTACTCAAGAAAATTTCACCTCCCACAGACAGGGAGTGGGCCTACACTCTAGGTGAGTGTGGCGTCGTAGCCCCCCCAGAGTCCTGGCTTAAATCCTTCTCTTGGAGGTGTTGCACATGACTGCTGTGACTTCCTTATCGACCACCTGTGGATGTCCTGGAGAACCTGTGACACAGAGACCCACTAATGTCCACCCACATCATCATAGCCCCGAGAGAAGGGCATGACAAGGATTCTAATGCTCCTGCACCTTCCCAAACGACATTCCTTAGAGGTCGTGGAGGGTGCAACTCCCCTTATCTCCAGCATTCCCAGTGGGTAGCTTCAGGGGATCCTTGGCTTCCCTGTAGATAGCGCCCAATTTACTGGAAGATGGACTCCCCACCTGCTCTCCCTCTGAGCGGTTATAACTTTTGTAATTACAAGTTTCATGACTTTTACAATCCTTGCCCAATGCGTGAAGTCTTAGGCCTTGTAAATTCCCTTTACTCTAGGCAAACTTGATTGCCACTATTAGATACCTCAGATATCTGGAAGTCTGTCTCTGAAAAGACAAAGTCGGTAAAGTTAATTTTACCTAAAGTGTGCATTTCTCCAAAAGCA